CGCCATAAGTCCTGTTATCTCGCGACTGCGGCTAAAGTAAGAGACGAGCATAAAAAAAGGACAAAATGAAAAAATGCCACGTGCGCTCCAGCTTAACACTCGATATAATAAATAAAATGCTGCGGCCGCTGCTCTGGAAGGATAAATATAAAATTTTCCTCTCTCGCTACTAGATTATATACGCTAAAACGTGCAGCATTTGCGAGTTTGGCTTTTAAATGTGCACTGCTTGCAATTTGAAGATACATATTCACGCGCTCGTGTGCAAGCTTTTTAATTTCTTTAGTCATAGGCGTGTGCGTGCGAGCGAGAGAGAGAGAGAATGTGCGGTTTTAGAGCGGTGAACGAAGCGGGGGTGCGCGGGAGTTGTTTATTATAATAGCCAAGTAGGTTTTTCTCGCCCGTCTATATATCACCTAATGCACTGGCATCGGCCTTTGCCGGTTACCTTTTTTTTATCCTCTTCCTCCATTTTCAAGTCTCGAGAGACAGATGACCACCGAAATCTTTCTTTTGCAGAGCTTTATGTATGACTAACAAAAATACTAATTTTCCAGCACTTTTTGTACGCATAAGATATCTAGTTACCTTGTGAAATGATGAACGTTGCTCACTCGACCTAATTTCCATTTGTATAAGCTGTTATGTGCAGATTTGAATTTCAAAAATAAAGTCTTCCAAGTAATTATTTTCTTTATAGTCTTTAATAAGTGTAAAAGTTAATACTTCACGCAAAAGATAACGAATTTGATAATCAAATAAAAACTATTGCATGACGTTTTTACTGTGTTCTGAAATACGCCATATTCCAAAAATAAAGCATAGGCCTTACTTCGAGTCTCAAGAGAATATAAGGCATATTTTCAAAATAAGACGTTCTATCAAGCGATAAGAAAAATAAATTGGAAAAGCGATTGAAATACCGGCCTTTTTTTTTTAAATATTCAAAGTTTATTGTAATTCCGATTACATTGTAAGCCGTACATCCAATTTTATCGTAGTAATCAGGGCTAGAATAGCTAAATACGTCTTGCAAATTGTACTACATGTTACGAATAAACATCCATGTTCCACGAATAAGGCGTATGGTGATTTTTGGGAAAAAAATAAAATAAAATACATGAGATATTTTCGATGGAACTCCGTAAATAATTCTGATTTTATGTGTAATATTTAAATGGAAACTCAATTATTAAATCTCTGAAATTAACTTTTTGATTTGCTAAAACCACGCTAAAATTTGAATAAAATTGATAAAAGAACCAACCGCAGCTGTCAATTACAGTGAAATACCGTCGAAAAATTACGTTGAACCCCGGCATTGTCTGGTAGTGAGAGTAAAAAGAAGATTAGCGATGTTCTTGTCATATAATACATCATTATCATTTTTTGATAGAAATTCTGATGGCTCGAGCCACCTCAACTGTCTCGGGGTTCCATTTATTTTGCAAAAAAATCAACGTTCAGCACTGAATAGCAGCGCAAAGTATAGCAATTTCACACCGCGAAATCCGATCGAAATTCAACGAGGCGTACATTTGACGCGAGTTGGGAGCCGCATTGGGTTATTGTAAAGAAAAAATGTATAGCAGTGTCGCGATAAGATCGATGGATTTCCCATAGCATTTTACATTTGTATTTTAAGCGAAGAAAAATTACATTTAAGAAGCAAATTTTTCATCTTTGTTGCTTTTTTCCTTGCAAATATATACGATAAATTTACTTATATTTTGAATATTGATAGGGAATTGGGTTTTTTCAAAACGAGAAATATTACACAAACGCTTGTAAGAAAAATTTAAACTTCAAATGTCATGGATTATATTGTATATAAAAATTTTACTACCGTGTCAGCTAGTCTAAGGATATAAAAAATCGAAATATACTCATATCGAAGTAGAAGTCGTCGCCCGCGTATAACCGCGAATGGTTCTTTCTATACGAGTTCGACTCTTATTATCAGGGAAAAAAGTTTTCTTGTTCGCGCCGACTTGAGCAGCTGTGATGCTTTCTTGGTAGTTAAGTCACACGCCCCCGTTTTTTACGCGCAACTGGCAAGAAAATTCTGTGCGATCTTTGGAGATATAACAAATGCTTTTTTCTAAATTCTGTGCACATGCTTTTTTGAGGCAAAAGAAGGAAGAAAAAAAAATACATAAAAGAAAAGAAAAAACAGATCGCTACGTGACTGTCAAGAAGGAGAGAGGAAAAAGTTGCTGCGATGGAATGCTCGAAACTCGGTAAATTCTTTCGCAAACAATTTTGGATTCTTTTCGTTCGCGGAGTTTCGCTTAATGGAGTTGAGCGTTAAAAAATGAACTTGTATATATTTTTTCATTGGAGTTTTCACAGTGGGAAAGTCCCAAGAAAGGTTAGTTGTTGTTGAAAAAAATTGAATAAATAACAAAGAACACTTTCATAATTTTTTCACCGCTATAAATTGGCTTAAAATTATGGTAGTTTGCAAAATTCATTTGAAAAAACAAAGAATAATACTTAAAAATATCCCTCACACTCGGTTTAATGACTTTTTGAGACAGTAGAAAACAGTATCACCTCAATAGACCTTTACTTCGATGCGTGAAATTAAAAATAGGCTACTTTCATAATTCTATAAATTGATTACTTGTCGAAACATCGACAAAAGGTAAAAACGCACTTTTTAAAAACTTCTTAAAAATAGCCTAGTTTTTGTGTCAAGCGATGACTTCTTTACATTCTGTATTGCATTTTTGTCTATAAATATTCTATAATATTCAGGAAATTCAAGAAAAGTTTTTACTGTAGACTTTCAATGTATATTGTGAGAAGTTCATTTGAATCAAAATAAAATTTGAGTCGCTAATTGGGTTAATGAATAAATTAACAAAGTAGTTTGTCATGATTACTGATCTGACATAGTCTAAATTCTCTCATTTTGCCTAAGTATTACGTAAAACGTGTCTACTAAATTTAATTTTTCAACAATTTAAAAGAAACGTGTTAAATCGGCAACTCTCATGCGCATGAAAATGAAAAAAATATTATTTCAATCCTTTTATATTTTAAAAAAGTTATCAAAATGACCACAGAGAGATTATTTCAACTCAGATGTAATGAACAATTTTATCATTTATTTTTTGAAGCTATCATATTGACAAATGTAGTGTTAAATATTTCCGTAAAAAATACTTGCTTGAGTATAGTTTTATGCGTATTTACTAGATTACTTTTGTGCAGATAGTGTAATATATACTAGCTACGACTTCAACGAAGTTTCCTGAAAAAAAAAACATCACCGACAACTGTCTGTATAAGCAGAGAAACTTTTCAGACCGTATATATTACGGAGATGTATATATAGGTATAACATGTGAACATATATAGCCTATGCTGCATCAGTCCAGAGGAGAAGTAAATTAAAGTCGTGTCGAAGCAGTAACAGCCCAGACAAAAATGAGAAAAGCCGCGATTATATATTGAGTTTGTCAAAACTCTCGTAAGCCTGACTCATATGTATCACTTGCAACAAAATCAGATTTAAAATCAAGATTTTTTTCTGAAAAGGTAAAATTTTTATTTTAAATTCTTCGTTTTTACTAACGTCGTGGAAAACTTTTTTTTAAAATATCGCTGTAAAGTTCTCGTCATCGAATCAAGAAGCTCAACTGTTGACCAATGCGATTGATTATGCCACGATCCGTTCTGATTTAAGATATGCATAGTGGATACGCTCACATGCTTGTATAGATAATTTTATAATACTTTGAGAGAAAGGTGGAGTCCGAGGCAGCATATAATAAGCAAGAAAATTCGATTGTGCAGGCAAAGCATATTGTAAACTCCGATGCAGCAATGTCCTGGTTTTAGAACTTCGTTGCTGTTCGAGCATATACTGATTGCATAGATTTAAAAAATCACTCTAACTAAAGTTTCTGTACAACTTGTGGAATCAAGTTACCTGAAAATTTTGCTGATGGAAATCCAAACTTATGATGCTAAAAATATTTAAAAAATAATGATAATAAATTTAAGGTTTTAGATTACCTGCCTATGGGATTGAAAAATCAAAAGGTCTAAGAGCACGTGTAATTAATTACTAGTGGCAACCACAGTTACAAAATGCTGAGCGACTGAATGGTAAATAACGAAATAGCATACGACATCATTATAATAGTTGTTTCAGCCGTATGAAATTAATAATAGTAGCTTCAATGAGTATCATAATAAATCAATGTTACAATGAGTTTTTTGTGTCAGCTAATTTGGTAAAGCCGTTAAAATTATTATTGGTATAATTGGAAGTAGAACACAAAAATAGGGCGTATTTTTTAGTTTGATGTTCCCTACATGTACATTAGTATAGGTATATATGAATGCAGGTTTTCGTAATTCGCACGTACGAAATAGATTTCACTTATTGATGTTTTGTGCTCAGCGTGTATTGACAACGTTGCGACCAAAGGAATTTGCACATGGCATGCCAACACATATAGAGCTGTATGTACGCGTTAAGCTGGCCCGGTGTGCCCACGTGACAATATATATAGATATATATTTGACTACATGACTAACCATGCATATTTATCACACATAGATTACATAGATCTACGATATTCGCTCGTTGCGTAAAAATGGTAAATGATATAGATGCGACAGTAGTTACGTATTTGGCGTTAGTGTAATATAAAAATGTATATAAACCCTTCATTCGCTCACGTTAACTTTGTTTCATATTTTGCGAGTCGAAAAAAATTATGCGAAAAGAAGTATAGGACACATCATAAGCTCGATTCATGGAGTGTTCAATAATTTATAATTTCTTTGTAATAAGATACAATTCAAAGAAAATGGCTAATTGTTTATTACGAGATCAATAGTATAATTTCTCCAATAATAAATGATAAGTTTAGAGTGTCTCTGTTGACATAAATTTTCTCAAACTTTCATTTCACGATTTGTAAATATTATTACACTTATGTTACCTAGCTCGATGTGTAACATCATTATAAAACAATTAGTCGTTGATCAAGTTCCGAGTGATAAACATGGACTTCAGTGATGTATATAACTCTGATGTCAGGTAATTTTTGTTTCGTGAGAATGAAATTTAAAAAAAAATGGCATAATACTTTATATTATTGGGAATATTGCAGAGTGAAGAAGGAACCAGATGATGTTTCCCCAATTAAAAATGAAGATTATAAGATAATTGACAATGCATGCGATGCTAAAAACGACGAATTCTCGAGTTTTTGTCGAGAAAATTTAGTAAGTGTTGATGTGGGACTGTTTAGTCAATATTTTGATCAAGTATTTTTACTAATCTCATTTCTAGATTTATGGGCTTCGTGAAAATGATAACAATTCTGGTCCTAATAACGATTTGGAAATAGAATTCGAATGTAAGGACGAGAAGCTCGGCATTAACTTATTAGTAGTCAAGAAAATCGAGGACGATTATCCAGATCAATGGCAGTCTAAGAAAAATAGTTGCGATTATCAGACTCAAAAGAAAATTAAAGAAGAAATGGTCGACGAAGTAAAAGAGGAATTGAATTTGGATGGTGAACTCAGTGATGCATTTGATGCAAATGAAAAAACATTTGCTCAAAATAGTCAACGCAAAACCCAAACTGATAAGGCAATCGTACACAATCGTACCAAATATCCATGTAATATATGCGGTAAAAAATTTGCACGAGAAAATAATCTCAAGGTCCACATCGATGCGATGCATAATGGTATGGCACCTAAATGCAAAATATGTGAAAAGACATTCACAGGAAAAGGAGATCTCAAGATTCACATCTATGGAGTACATAATGGTGTTAGACATGCATGTAGTATATGTGAAAAGACATTCACACAAAAAGGAGATCTCAAGAGGCATATCGAGGGACATAATGGTGTTAAACATACGTGTGGTATATGTGCAAAGATATTCGCACATAAAGGAAATCTCAAAATTCACATCGATGGAGTACATAATGGTGTTAGACATGCGTGTAGTATATGTGAAAAGACATTCACACAAAAAGGAGATCTCAAGAGGCATATCGAGGGACATAATGGTGTTAAACATACGTGTGGTATATGTGCAAAAATATTCGCACATAAAGGAAATCTCAAAATTCACATCGATGCGATGCATAATGGTATGGCCCCTACTTGCGAAGTATGCGGAAAGAAATTTCAAACGAAGAATAAACTCAAGATCCATATCGATGCAGTACATAATGGTGTTAGACATGCGTGTAGTATATGTGAAAAGACATTCACACAAAAAGGAGATCTCAAGAGGCATATCGAGGGACATAATGGTGTTAAACATACGTGTGGTATATGTGCAAAAATATTCGCACATAAAGGAAATCTCAAAATTCACATCGATGCGATGCATAATGGTATGGCCCCTACTTGCGAAGTATGCGGAAAAAAATTTCAAACGAAGAATAAACTCAAGATCCATATCGATGCAGTACATAATGGTGTTAAACATCCATGTAATATATGCGGTCAAAAATTTTCACTAAAAGGTAATCTCAAGATCCATATCGATGGAGTACATAGTGGTGTTAAACATGCGTGTGGTATATGTGAAAAGACATTCACACTAAAGGGTAATCTTAAAAAACACATGAATTTGATACATAATAAGACATAAGAAGAATGATGCATAAGAAGATAAGATAACTCACATTAAAGCGCACCACGAAGACATTGATCACGCTTGTGTTTTATGCGGAAAAAAATTTAAACATAGAAAATATTTATGCAGACACGTCAAAACCTATCAATAACCGCGCAAATTGATGAAACATCGAGACAAATAAATAAATTAACATATCATAAATTAACATATATTTATTTATTATCATATAATAAATAAACATATCATAAATTTTTACTCAGTAGTGAAACTCAAAACACGACATATATTATAATTGTCATCGGTACAATGTTAACTGAAACACGACATATAATATACCTACTTATCATAAGTATAATGTTAAATACCGATACACAAGTAAGACCGATCGCAAACAAAAATTACGTTTTTTCGAAGTGGAGATGTCGCGAGGTGCAAAACTCAAAATTGCATAAAAAGGCATTTTTTGTATATTAGGGTATACGGATGTCGCTAAAAAAAGTATACAGCACTCCATCAGCACCAAAACAATGCTATTTTAAATTTTTAGATTGATTGGTTTATCCCTGCATGAGTTATCGCAATTAGAATAAAACATCAAAAATAAGCAATATCGAATGTATACAAAAAAGAATTACTCATAAATAACTCACAAAAAAAATATATATATGGGTAAGGCTCAGAATTTTTTAAATAAACCTGCGCTCGTATGTCACCGATCTTGACGCGCTTTTGGTATGTTATAGTACATGGTAAAAAAGACCCAAAACCAAAATTTTAGACCCCCTCCCCCCTCCTACCCCCCACTTCCGGTATAAACGTCCATTTTCTATCTATATTTTTTCTGAAGGCCTGAAGAGATTAAAAAATCTGAAAAAATTCACAAAAATACTTTTCAACAATCCAAACAACCTTGAATTTTTTCAGATTTTTTGAGTGCTTCAGGCCTTCAGAAAAAATTATTGAAAATTTTGACGTTCATCACAATTACATTATTTTTCAAATTTCTTCAGAATTTCGCTCGAATCTTTGTTATGCTCTAGAATGAGCTAGGAAGCTCCAATCGAAATTTTGCGACGGTCAAAATATATTAAAATTTGACAAGGAATTCGAAAAAAATTTTTTCAAATTTTTTTACCGGAACCTCTGGGTTCCAGGAACCGTTTTTCATAAAAATAGCGTTTTTTAGCCATAGATGCTATCGCCTTCAATTAAAAAATTTGAAAAAATTCAAGGTTATGTATTTTGACCTGAAAAACAAGAAAAAAATTTTTCCAGATTTTTTAAAGCTTCACATCGCCCTAAAAAAATTATTTTCGTAAAAAAAGGGCGTTTTTCGGCTAAAAACCGCCAGCGTTCTGTATGAAAAAATCTGAAAAAATTTGAGGTTATGTATTTTGATGTCAAAAATAAGTGGAAAAAAAGATCGGGCTTTGTATTGCATCGTAGCGCCGTATATGAATTTTCAAAATTTTCAATAATTTTTTCTGAAGGCCTGAAGCACTCAAAAAATCTGAAAAAATTCAAGGTTGTTTGGATTGTTGAAAAGTATTTTTGTGAATTTTTTCAGATTTTTTAATTTCTTCAGGCCTTCAGAAAAAATATAGATAGAAAATGGACGTTTATACCGGAAGTGGGGGGCAGGAGGGGGGAGGGGGTCTAAAATTTTGGTTTTGGGTCTTTTTTACCATGTACTATAACATACCAAAAGCGCGTCAAGATCGGTGACATACGAGCGCAGGTTTATTTAAAAAATTCTGAGCCTTACCCATATGTATTACAAAATTTACACACGAATATTGATGCAAAAATCAAAATTGCATAAAAATGCATTTTTTGCATATTAGGGTACACGGATTTTGCTAAAAAAGTATATAGCACTCCGTCAACACCATAAGAATGCTATGTAAAATTTCCAGATCGATTGGTTAATCCCTGCATGAGTTATCGCAGTTAGAGTAAAACATCGAAAATTAGCAATATCGAATGTGTACAACTTTGCTGCGCTCAGCATCAATCAGCTGACTCGAAATAAATCGGTGTTACCATTTGCATATTTAGGTCTTCGTTTTCATCTATAAAGGTTTTTAACAAACGACAATTTTCAGACATGCAAGTAACGTAAAAATGTGAGAATCCATCTTCATAGACCCAACTGACTGTGTGGTAAACCTTGAGAAGTTCATAAATTACTTTAATAAATAATCTGCCTGACGCTACATGTACTGCCGTTCGGGTTGAATCGAGAGGGTATAGATTTTTATTTTAGCTTTTATAGGAAGTAGTCGATGAAATTTACATTTTTGTAATGGAACAGTTATTTGGATTCCAAATATTAGAACAATAATTCGCGTTTTCTTATACGGTAAGAAGATTATCCAAATCATCAATGGTCTGAGAATTGTCAACATTTTCGGTAATGGAAAGATTATCCATATTTTTCATATTGAATGAATTATTTCCATTTATAATGTTAAAAAATGATACAAATTTTCAATGTAAGAATAATTACTCTAGTAACTATCAGTTCAATCTCGAGAATCAAATAGATCAAAAACCAGTTTTATAATCCCCTAATGTCTTCAGAAATGTCTTCAAAATTTGGTATTTTAATCTTTGTGCTGCTTTAGATTAAATTAGGAGGCCTTAATCGAGAAAAATGCGAAGAACAAATTTTTTTTAAATTTGACAAGGAACTCGAAAAATATTTGTCAACATTTTTTGATTGAAAGATCCGGCTTCTAAGACCTGAAATATGGTTTTCCCCTTTAGACGATGGGTCTTCTAGAAAAAAATCTGAAAAAATCAAGAAAGTATAGGATTGAAATTTAAATTCATTGTTTTTTGTAACAAAAAAGCAGATAATTTCATTACAAAATTTTATGAGTTTCTAAATTAGTTATACAAAAATTAAAAAATTTAACGTTAGAATTGTTCTACAACCAAGCCGTTTAGTTTATCTTCCATATAATACTTCGAATATTTCAATTTTTGAGAAAAAAAATATAACAAAGATTTGCTCACTGTGCCAATAACTTAATCTGAAAGGATGAACACGTACATTTTGAATAAAAGGATTTGTTTTCTTCAATACGATCAAAGCTTTTATGGGATCTTTGATTTTCAGATTGTAGTTCAACAGTTCTTTCAAAGCTTCTTCTTTGATTTTTCTATAGACATCTGGTGCGGCTAAGTCTGATGGCTCGCACTGATAATGGTTCATCACTTCATCAGCTTTTTCTACTCTAAAGTTGTAAGCTGTCATGTGTTTTAGTTTTTTTTTAACAGCTTGTCGTTGACGATTGATGACTTGTCTCTTCTTGTCATGAGAAATTGAAGCAGTGTCATACGTTTTTATATCTATTGTAATCCCGTTATCATCATTTTGTGGCTTTTCTTTGCAAACACCTTGTACAAAGGTTTTACATTTTTTATCAGCACACCGACCAGTAAATTGAATAAACATATCATCTGATGTATATACTGTAGCAGACTTGAAAGCGAATGGACAATAAATTTCTCCTTGTTCGTTAATGCATCTTGTAACAATAGGTGTCCAGACTTTTGGAGTCAATTTGTTCATTTCATTTGGCTTAATATAAAGCCATTCTGCTGCGCTTAGTTTAATAGAAAAATTGAGAGGCTTCAACTTATGAGGGTTTGGATTACCTTCAGCAAATATTTCACATTCTTCATAATCTGACTCATCTGTTGATTCTTCAACTTCTAAAAGTTTGCTTTCCTCTATTAAACTATCACATTTTACACTGACACATTTTTCACTGTCGCATTTTTCATTTTCACATTTTTCACTGTCATATTCTTCGCTGTCATATTCCTCACTGTCACATTTTTGCAATTAGTCATTTTCTTCTTTTTTCTTCAAAATTATATCTCCGCAATTAACTTTATATTGCTGTAGTCTAGTTTTGATTCCAAGTGTATCTTTTAAAATACGTAAGTACAGAGTGGATAATAATACTGTTAAACCTGTCTTTTTTTTAATTAAATCAACAGCCTGACTCCATTCATGAAGATATCGTGTGCGTGCTTTCAAGGACCCATCTGGGTGAAAAATTGGCAAATCCTTGAGAATGCGAAATAATTCTTAATCTTTCAATTTTTTTTGTTTGACCATGATGATTTCTAAAAATAAAATTAGTTTTAATTAGATAATTATTCTACACAATCAATTCTCAAATATATGTGAAAAAATAACATTTAGCCTAGCATCAATGTACAACAAACATTTAGCCTAGCATGAATGTACACCAAAACTGTTTTATATAATTGTATATTCTTACTTAATTATTAATTCTATAGATGAAAATGTAATCGCCACTTTCAACGAATTCCTTCCTAGATTATTTTTACTGACTTTTGTTCGGTCTGCATTCGATTGAATAACGACGAAAAGAACGAACTGATGTCGACGTTACTTTGTTTTTAGGAGTTCGACATTTCAGAGCATTACCGATACGAGCGCCGATACTTGGAAAACACTACTTCCACGAAAAATAGGAAGCAGTGCATCTATTCTTTCTCTTTGCCGTTTTTAGTTAGTATAGTACTTCTGCTCTGTTAAGTATCTCTCACATATAACAAAATGCCTTCTAAAAAAAATAATTTAGTTGATAATGCCGTTTTAAATATAAGACGTAAAAGACCGGGACGTATTCCTGCTGTGCCACCTCCAATTATCATAGAAGTATTAAAGACATTGCCAATTTTTAATGAAAATAAATCATTAAAAAAAAATCAAAAGAAGTTTGGGAAGAAGCTGTATCTAAATTAAGTGAATTAGGGTATATTATTAAAACACATATCAATATGGGTCAGATTCAGAATTTTTCAAATAAACCTGCGGGCGAGGTTCACGGATTTTCCTGAAATTTTGGTATGTTATAGTACATGATAAAAAAGTGCCAAAAACAAAATTTTGGACCCCCTCCCCCCTCATATCCCTCTCCTCCCCTATAGACGTCCATTTTCTATCTATTTTTTTTTCTGAAGGCCTGAAGCTATTAAAAAATCTGAAAAAATTCATGAAGGTACTTTTCAACAATCCGAACAATCTTGAATTTTTTCAGATTTTTCGAGTGCTTCAGGCCTTCAGAAAAAATCATTGAAAATTTAAATTATTTTATTTTCGGTGAAATGGTTCGATATACCAAACCGGAGTATTTTTTTCTGAATTCTGACGTCAAAAAACGATTCCTTGAATTTTTTCAGAATTTTTCATTCATGTCCATTCAGCCTAGAGCTGAAAAACCGCTTTTTTTCACGAAAATAATTTTTTTAAGGCGCTACGGAGCCTCAAAAAATCTGGAAAAATTTTTTTCTCATTTTGTTCATCAAAATACATAATCTCAAATTTTTTCAGATTTTTTAATTGAAGGCGATAGCGTCTGGAGCCGAAAAACGTTATTTTTAACAAAAAAGGTTCCTGGAACCCGATGGTTCCGGTAAAAAAATTTGAAAAAATTTTTTTTGAATTCCTTGTCAAATTTTAATAAATTTTGACCGTCGCAAAATTTCGATTGGAGCTTCCTAGCTCATTCTAGAGCATAACAAAGATTAATGCGAAATTCTGAAGACATCTGAAAAAAATTTAAATATGATGAATGTCTTCAGAATTTCGCATTAATCTTTGTTATGCTCTAGAATGAGCTAGGAAGCTCCAATCGAAATTTTGCGACGGTCAAAATTTATTAAAATTTGACAAGGAATTCAAAAAAAATTTTTTCAAATTTTTTTACCGGAACCATCGGGTTCCAGGAACCTTTTTTGTTAAAAATAACGTTTTTCGGCTCCAGACGCTATCGCCTTCAATTAAAAAATCTGAAAAAATTTGAGATTATGTATTTTGATGAACAAAATGAGAAAAAAATTTTTCCAGATTTTTTGAGGCTCCGTAGCGCCTTAAAAAAATTATTTTCGTGAAAAAAAGCGGTTTTTCAGCTCTAGGCTGAATGGACATGAATGAAAAATTCTGAAAAAATTCAAGGAATCGTTTTTTGACGTCAGAATTCAGAAAAAAATACTCCGGTTTGGTATATCGAACCATTTCACCGAAAATAAAATAATTTAAATTTTCAATGATTTTTTCTGAAGGCCTGAAGCACTCGAAAAATCTGAAAAAATTCAAGATTGTTCGGATTGTTGAAAAGTACCTTCATGAATTTTTTCAGATTTTTTAATAGCTTCAGGCCTTCAGAAAAAAAAATAGATAGAAAATGGACGTCTATAGGGGAGGAGAGGGATATGAGGGGGGAGGGGGTCCAAAATTTTGTTTTTGGCACTTTTTTATCATGTACTATAACATACCAAAATTCAGGAAAATCCGTGAACCTCGCCCGCAGGTTTATTTGAAAAATTCTGAATCTGACCCATATTGATATGTGTTGCAAAATAGAGACTGGAGCTTCAAAGAACTTTGCAACTTCCATTTTATATTGTTTTATAGATTTTTTGGTATAAATTGAAAATATGTTACATTTGATAATCGAATGAATAAATTAGCTATAAATAAATTATTTAAGAAATTTTTTGATTTATTTGACTGTACAATTTTTTACTACAAATATAGTAAAGTATGTTAGCAATGGTACATTATAATTATTGAATAAATTATTTGATTGTTACAAACATTATCGAAGTTTTGTTTATTAGTGTATTAATAACTCTGGTTTATTTGTATGCATTTTTATGCTTACCCGTGGAGACATACTGAATTTTGGAGTATTTTTCATTTGACTGAATAATGTGTGTAGAATAGTAAGATCCCATTATATTCGTAGTCCTCTTGTTTATTAACAATATTTTTTTAACTCAGAGACTGTTTTGTCATTTTTCAAAAATAACACAATACAATACATCAATTCAGCTAAATACTTATCACCATTAAATAAAAATTTCTAAATAATTTACTGCAATAGTTTTAATTTTTTAAGTATGAATAAATTTCAATTATTTTTCTGCAATATGACTCGAACAGTGTGCCTCTTGTATTGTTATAAAACTGCATCTTATAGTTCCTTTGATACAGAATAAAATTTTGTCTCATTTTAAATAGATACCCCCTGCTAAATACTGTAGAGTAAGTTGGCAATTTATACAGCTAACTAAACATACTTATATTATTCCTATTTAGTTTTTTACGAAGATTCTATGTTAATTAAATATGTACGGTTGACTTATACCTGAGAGCTACTACTATTTTTTCGTATTCCTTCTCAACATAATATTAATCAGTATTTTAAGTTACATTTAGCATAATGTATAAATATTTTATATAAATTTTATAATTTTATAATTTTATATTCATATAAACATATAACAGAAAAGAAAAATCATCACCCGTTATCGTTTCATTACAAATCGTACTAATGTGTTAAATATATATAATCTTTTTCCTCTTTGCGTCAATATATTGTATCATTAATTTAAGAGAACATGGACATTTGTACAAGTGTCGTTGCCAATGAATCGTCTACATTCCCTTCATATTACAAAATCTTTTTGAGTAAAAAAAGATAAACGTATTCTCTATACAGCATTTTATTTATGGGATCTCAAAAGCCTTGGTAAAAATGACAATTTTTGAATATTAATTAATAAGATTTCTATTTTGACGTGCCAATTAGACTGCTCCTCGATATTTTCTACAAATCTTTTTTGTTATTGCCTTTATTTTGTAGTTTTTAGACACGCAAGTTAATTTTTAGAAAAATATTTAACTAGAATTTCAAAAATTATTAGTAAAAATTATCATTTTTATCCAGACTTCCAGATTATTGAAAAAGCCAACTTTTAGATGAAATGCATTAGATAATATATATAGAGCATAAAAGTCACATATGAACTCTCCATAGGAGAGCGCAATGATTAAAAAATTGATTTTTAATTTTTTTCAAACGTTCGCGTAAATCAGCACGATTATTATGTATGCTCTTCATTTTCATTTTGAAATTTGTCTCAATATTTCATTGAATAATGATAATTACTTACACCTTTTATCAATCATATTATTTCACTTTCGATCGTACCATTAATACATACTTCTAGAGTCGTGCATACTTCAGGTTTTTGTACATCCAATGTTAAGGTGAAATATTATCATTAGTTTAAATTTGTTACAAGAACATTTTTTTTTGAAATAACATACATTTGGATTACATTTGATTTATGTTAAAAAATAAGCACATTGTATCGGAGAGCAAAGCTTTTACAGATTGGAAAGTTCTAAAAGAAAACTTTGATGCAATTATCATAAATATTGCGTTGAATTATTGCATCCTAAATAATAATCAATGGAGTATTTGGTTTGACTACGATTATAAAAAAACCTATTCTGAAGCTCGTTTTGCATCAACTATATATAAATTTCTTCTATTATTTTTTCACTTGCTAGCTTAAATGCACAATATATTATATAAATATATAAATGATTTACGTATGTACCAATTATCGAGTAAATATTTGAAAATGAGGAAAAATTAGCGGTTTATACGTCATAGCACATGTAAAATCATGGAAAAAAATGTTCTTCATGATTAATCAAATTTAATCTTTCAACTATTTTCTTGTGCGTTATTACTTTTCATTTACAGTTTACACCTATTTTTTACTGATAGATGCATCCGAAATAATGCTTTACTTTTCTTATCGCAAATGTAATCTTCAAACTTATTTTCATAGGAAAAATGCATCTAGGAATAAGAAGTCAGTTTTTACGTAATTAGAAATGCATTTTTTCATTTACATATGAACAGATAAAATTAAAAGTTGATAACAAAATAAAAAATATATTATCTATTGATTACCACTAGACGTATATTAAAATCAAGGGCACATAAAGAATAAAATACATTCTTACGTACATTCGAATGTGGACAGGTTTTTTTTTAGTTTTTCAACTGTTTATAGACTAAATCACGCGCAACTAAAAATCAAAATGAAAGCAAGCTGATATAAGTGCACGGTTAAGAAAACGATCGTTAGTGTTAAAACGTAAAATAACTAGTTTTTCAAAGATCAAACTTTTCGAAGTATTTCAAATGCGTGGAATTTTTGATTTGAGAATTTCATTTTTATTCTTTTATAAATACTAAGATTTCGTTAAATTTTTAATCATTAATACAATTGTGTATTTTATAATTTATAAAATTAAAGATACAGTTTAATGCACCAAAGAAAAATATTAAACTTTTTGGAAACTTTACAGTGCATATCTTATTATTTCACGTAATTACATGTAAAAAAACTCAGTGACATTACAACAATCGGTAATATTTTATAAAAACTTATACAGATTTAGTTTGTATTTTTGAATTCAAAATTCTAACTACATGAAAAAAAAATACTTAACATAGACAAATGACAAATCTTAGTAAAATTTGCATGTGATTTTAAAAATTATGCATGCTTGGATGAATAATAAAAATTCGAACATTGAATAATAAATAAAAATAAACCTAAAATACAAGCGGCGATTTAGACAGCAGTGACCCGGGTGGTTGTTCCCGCGGGCACATTGGCGCCTGGTCACGCAACGTTTGTTGCACTCGTATCGTGTTCATTCCAACCTTCGCTATCGCATTCGGATTCCGAAGCTGAGTCACTATCGCTGACCTCCACAGCCACACGCCTCGCTAAAATCGACGCCACATCGTTTAGCGGATTCCCTCGTTCGACCTCTCTGTGCTCATTTCTTTCAACTTTACGCAGTTTAATACCTGAAAGAAACGAAGAAAGATTTAAAAATAATTAATCTAACTTAGAAGTCTCATTATCAGACTAATTTTTAAAATTCTTCAATCTTACCATCTCTTATGGCTTTGAGTAAGTCATTTCGTGGATCGACAGCCGCAGGTATATTCGGATTCACTGGTTTTCTCAACTGTCCATCAACAATACTCTTTAGAGGCTTCAGTTTCGGTGGATTGTTGACAATCATTTTGGCAATGTCACCGTTCGTCAACGGATGAGGAGGTAGAGGCTGTGGTTGGCCAATTGAATCTGGACCATTGGCTAGTGGTGGCGGTGGGGGTGGCGGCGGCGGTGGTGGTATATTGCACGGCGGTGAATCGGGACGCGTAACTGGTGCCGGGTCCGGGGTCGGAGGAGGCGGAGGCAGATCCTGCACCGACGACTCCGTCTCGTCGACGCCCAACTGCACAATCTGATGATGACCAACCATCATGTTGACTGGCATGATTGACGTCGGTGTTGATTGGTGATTCGGCAATGGGCTGCCAGAGCGGCTACCGTTGCGCTGGTTCAGCAAATGCACTGGGATCGTTCCTACATAAATGTACAAAAAATGATCAAACAACCTTTTCGAACATTACTCGTGAGCATAAAAAAATCAAGACGAACCGTTCATTGCTGGTGGCGACATGGTTTCTCCAGGTGGCGGCGGCGGAGGTGGCAGAGTCTCTCTACCAGTGCTCATTGATCTACCCCTCGTAGGTGTGTTATTGGCCGAGTTCATGGTTGGTGTGTTGGAGTTGCTCGACGCGTTACTCGGTGGTGCGGGTGGTGGCTGCGATGGCCGGTTTCTACCACCTCGACTGGGCGTACCCGGACCTCCTGGGCTTTGGTACGTGTCACTTCCCGACTGCGTCTGACCTGGAGCATAGTGCGAACCGTACGCACTGTCTTCGTATCCCGACAGCTGCTGCGAGACAAAATTTTATTCATTAAAATAAATATTTTGCTGGTTTGTAGATCAAAAAGCAACAAAAGAATTAATAGTGTACAATATGAACCTGTCCGCCGTAATTAGCAGTGCGGTAGTGATCGTTCATCGCGGCATACATCATCTGCTGCTTATCGGGTTGGTGATTCGACGGGTAGCTGCGAGTCAGCTCGATACTGTTGGGCCGGGGAGGCTTGTTCAGATCTGACATGACCATGTCGAGAAGCGCTTCCTCCGGCAGCTGCTGCTGATGAGGCACTCGATACTGCACGGTCTGTGTAGGCATGATGTACTCTCCGTGGCCAACTGCAATTTGTCGCTGACGCTCGCGCGTGTTGTGCGGTTGACGTACGCGTTTCTTGTGCCGACCACCTCCGTGACCTGCGTCGCCGCCACTGGCGTTCCGAGGCCTGTGCGGCTGTTGCGAAAAAGACAAATCAAAGAGATTAATTTTTAGCCAATTTGTGTTTTGCTACACGATCAGGCTTATGGGTGCTAATAGCTCAATCTTTAAGAGGACTTCGAAATGGAATAATGCTTGTATGACAAATTTTCATGTGATGATGTCGTTTGTGCATGTAAAACTTTATTTACAAGGTTTTCTGAACATTTTCAAAGAACTAAGTTGCACTTTTACGTGCAATTACTACTTTCAAAAATATCCTTGAAAACTCGAAGTATTGGACAGTTTTAAAACGACCTTTCCTCGAGCGATGCTTACAATTTAATTGCATTGCAATAACGAACTTGAAATACGGAGTATTCTGAAGCATATTATTGTTTAATGAAAAAAATGTAAGTGATTGTCGAAAATAAGCAAAATATTTCAAGCATCAGTGTATAATGTTCTAGCGACAAATGTACACTAATCATCTAGCAATGTCTTTTTCTAATGCTAAATTATGGTTGCTTTATAGAAAGTTGCCAGTTCTTGAAGCTTTTGTTATTTGAATAATATTCAAAAAATAGAAGTCTAGTCGTCAGTAAATCAACGTAACAAAATTGTGACAGCATTAATTTTTTAAGAAAAAAATTGGGTTTATCCTTTGTCAACATCACAATATCAATCCATGATTTTTCAAATTCAATCACAGGAGTAAGAAATTTATGCAATTTTTTTCAATTCCAATTCTACAAAAATTAAAGATTAAATTACATAATGACGTTTTGTTGTGAAAAAAGTTGTGGATTTTCGATAATCAAGTTTAAACAAAAATTAAAATTATGAAATATAAAAAATTGCAAAATTCATTTTACAAGTAGCACGTATTCTTACAATGTAATGTGATTAAAATTGATCTCAAATATTAACTCTCAAATATTTTTCGGTATTTAAACAATTTTTTACAAGAATAGCACTTAATACTTTAGTAATACAACTGCTATAACTATTTATTTTAAGCGAAGATTTATAAATGGCCTATCTTATCGATACAAACAATAGTAGATAAATATAGCTGGCTAATGAAATAGGATAACCCAGGCACAATATACCATACACATTTTTGTGTGCGTTGAAAATTGATTGAAACAGATACATGATGAATCGAGAAAAATGAACAGTTTGTCATTAAAAAGACAAAATAGTGCAGTGAAAAATCTAAGTTTAATTTCCAAACCATCGACTTGCCTCTCTGAACGGTTCGGCATATTCCGATTCATCGGTCTTTTCACGATACAACCATTGTAAATGTGAATAGAATAGTTCAATGTTATTTTGTTGTTGTCGTTGTTGTTAACAAAATAAAGAAATTATATTAAATTAGTTTTGTTAAAATAATTTATAATTTAATCATTGTATATTCGATAAATGTTATGGCATTTTTCAGACCCTGAATTGGCTGAAATTCGAGGGCACATTTAATATTATTTAAAATAATGCCAGGAATAAAAAAATTGATCGATAATTTTGCGATAATACCTTCTTTCCCCGATCATGTAACTTCTTCTCGGTGTCCTTGAGCATTTCTTGACTCCATAAGTCGAAAAAGTAATTCGGATCAGTGTAGAACTTGAGACCATCTTTTCCATCCTCTCTGCAATAAAAGTTAAAATTAGTCGTATGCTTGAGAAGGTTTTCAAGTCCTATATCATAAGATGTTGCTATAATTCCTGCAGAGTGGAAAATGAATAAATGACGTCAAAGTGACGGACCACAAGAGATTAGAAAACCAAAGTAAAATTTATCAGTTTTCTAAAGGGACCAAGCCCCGTTTTATTTGAGAAATAAGCTATTTAATTTTATTAATTTAATTGGAACTATAATAGGTCCAATACTTTTATTCGAATATATCGCATGATCGAAAGCAATGTAACATATAGTACACTGATTCTCATCACGATATTTCACATGAGACGGGCAAATACCCGTTACTCCCTGTCTAATGCTTATATAGAAGAAGCTCATTACGATAAGTTGCAGTTCAAAGTGTTCAAAACAGTTATTTCGCGAATGCTTATAATCGTGACAATAATAATAGCGCGGAAAATCGCACCTATAAACGTTGAGCTTGTCGAGAGGCGGTGGTGTATCGCACTGATGATAGGTCTCCATCATGGCGGTCGGCATCGTATCTCTCGAGACGACCTGCTGATCGAACACAACCGAGCTCTTGAAGGCCTTGCGCATGTGAATGTCTTGCAGCGAGACTGCAATGCGAAAAATGTCGTTAAAAACAACGATTATACCATTCGAGAAACTTGTACGAGTCTCGATCGTTAAACAAGAGCAAGAGAAAAATGTATTAGCTCACCTTCTTCGACGTTGCTATCAAGTTGGGTAACCTTGACCGCCAGTCTGTCGATTCTCGCCTGCAGCGAGTTGGCCCGATCGCTAAGACCGTGCGCCTCTTTAGCCAGCTCGCCGAATAGGTCCTCGGCGTGCCTCGACAGACTCGACAATTGCCTTATGGTGTTGGCCAATGTGCCGTTCGTCACTGCTTCCAGTTCGGAAGGCAGAGGAAAGTGATCGGGTATGGTACCCCGTGCCACGTGCACCGGCTCGACTACCCTTTTTGGCAGCGGCATTTTGTTTTTTTTCTTCTTCGATTAAATTTAACGCTATACCTGCGACTAGCGATTTTGTCCTTTGACCCGTAGTGTTTCGGAAATTCTTTTTCTTAGGCAATTTTTCTTATCCTTGATTCAGGGATTTTGGAGTGAGCTGAGCAAATCCCTTTTGTTGCCCCACCTCGACCTCCACCCTTGGCGACCTCCTGTCACCCTTACCGCCGCTTATTCATCGATAATTGCGGGATACCTGTAGGCAAACGGAAGTAAACTTTAGTCATGCTTGTTATGTAACATAATAATGATCATAGTAATATAGAAAAATTGAATTTTTTCATGTTGTGATAGTTCGTGTTTTCTCATTTTCAGTCTTATTTGGTTTACTGAACTCATCCAAATTTATATTTTTTCAATGTTATCTATTTTCATTTTTCATATAAATGAGACCATTTGTGTCATCGATATAATTCATATCATTATCACTTAAGAGAAAAGAGTTTAAATACTTTTCTTGCCGAATTACACGAATTATTAAGCACCTTTAGCGATTTGAATCGATTTTACGCTAGATATAATTTACCACGTTTTCGGCTTAATCGAGCTAAAAGAAAAGGATAAACACAAATGAAGAGGCAAAAAAAGTTTCGTCCGCTGCTACATTCTGTATGCACTTAGTGTAATTTAACGCCACATACGAACTTGATTTGATAAAGTATAGGGTGCAGCAGAGTTATACCTACACATGCTTTAGTACTTTATGTATATGTAGCAGTCAGACTAATGCTCAATACCACAAAAAATTCTCAGGAGGCTTCATGAGTCACTGGTATAATATTGAATATGCAAGGAAAACAGAAAGCTTATTTCGGGTGTCTACAAATAAAATAGCATTGAAGAAATTATAACTAATGTGTAATTTTGAATATACAAAACATGAGATGATTTATCAGGTAACATTTTCAACAAAATTTAAGCATAAAAAAGGGAAAAACAAGTTGCAGGATATCTATTTTGTATGCGCATACAGCTGCATGATAACTAACTGGATATTGCATCCGTTTTTAACGTGGGCGATCAAGCCTTACGCGCACTTTACAATGTCTTCGTACTATTATTTTACTAATAGGATACAGTATAATCCGGCGTTTTATATCGAAATATAATATTATTTTCATACAACTCAAAATATACAGGGTGGGGAATAAATATGGAAACCCCAGGAAATTTCGCAGAATAAGTTGGGGAAAAAAATCAAAAACCTCATACCCGACGTATTTTTTCACGGGGAATCCAATGGTGACCTTGAATTTGACCTTGAACATGACCTTCAAGCTCCAGCGACCCAAAAATCGATTTTTCAAATGTAACCCCCATTTTTTATTGCAGATTTGAAAAGAGCACAAAATTTCACGTCAAAATGTATGTTTTGTTTTTTTTTCAAGGTCATTTAGGAGGCGGTACAATGAGAAAAAAAGCCCTTACTTGAACTTAGTTTTAGGTTAAATTGGGGTTTTATTTGCGTCTGTAACGCCCTTAAAATGACCTTGAAAAAAAAAAACAAAACATACATTTTGACGTGAAATTTTGTGCTCTTTTCAAATCTGCAATTAAAAATGGGGGTTACATTTGAAAAATCGATTTTTGGGTCGCTGGAGCTTGAAGGTCATGTTCAAGGTCAAATTCAAGGTCACCATTGGATTCCCCGTGAAAAAATACGTCGGATATGAGGTTTTCGATTTTTTCCCCAACTTATTCTGCGAAATTTCCAGGGGTTTCCATATTTATTCCCCACCCTGTATAACAAGGAAAATTGAATTTATGAAACAAGTATATCATGATCCTATCATTCATTAACCTCCTTCGCACCTTTGATAATCCTCTAATCTGGTGCATTTTGTTCTCCCTCACTCGGTGTTATATATTTTTAACTTTATCATTTACCAGCCGCATATAATATATACATAAAGCGATGTAGGTCGTGCGCCTCGTCGAGGCTTAAACGACAGACGACGAGAGTCAATATAGTTGCCATCTATTGCATTCCAGCGATGCTTGGGCTGTTATTACATACGCGTATTTGTAAAAGTCTCATGTACTTATTAATGCATCAGAAGGAAAATATAAAAATCGGTAGAAACGATACTACATGAAAGTTTTTCAGCCCTGCTTTAACAAATGTTTTGATATGGATTACGTACATTTAAAATAATAATAATAATTCTTCGAGAAAGTTTAGCGTTGAAGCTCGAAGTTTTGAACAATTTAAAAAGTTAAACTGCAGAAATAATATTCACCGATATGATCCATCTTCAAGGAAATGTTAGATCGATAATTGTCGTAACAAATAAATCAGTATCAATTGTCACTCATTGTTACGAACTGGTATTAATAGCATTCATGAGTAAGGTTACAACTATTTTATTATTATGCCTCTTGACAACTCTCATAGCCCAATTGGTATTTTTTTGTATAGTAAAAATCACAGCTATGTGTAATTTTTTAAAGGAACGTAATAGATGTTTCGTGTATATTGATAATTGAGAAAACCTTAATTGATAAATAACATTTAAAGTAATAACATTCAATGATTATCAAGCTAAATGTTTAAAATATTTGATGATTATTTAGAAAGCACTTCGAAATTTAATTGACAAAATACATTTTACATAATCAGAATTTCGACTTATTGAAATTTTTAAATTATATAATAAAACTGTCAATTAATAACGGTTGAAAATATCAAATTGAAAAAAAAAATAAATGAGAGTTTTTCATCTTCGAAACTTTATGCTTATCAATAAAAGTTATCAGTTTACTATAACATCCCATGGCCATCGCATTGATCATCTCTTTTCTTTAAAAGTAGACGTATAGAAAAAATTTGAAAGTCTAATACTTGTTTCATAATAAATTTGCTTCGGGAACAATTCTTCGTGTTTTAATAGTAATATCACAAAAAAGCTTACAATGACCCTAACTTTAGTTATTTTTATGTAAAATTAACCACCTATTATGATAAGAGAAAGTCGCCATACGATTTATCAAAACCTCAAATGCTCTTCATGAATCATGATAATAAACACGTGAATTAATTTTCTTCCGTGCTTATCCGAAAATCACATAAAGCATCAAAATTCTTGATTGATAGTATTTAACTATGAAACTGCGTTTCAGCAAAAAAAGAACTGCATTGCACTTAGAACTTGGCAAAGTTTAGATCCGCAGTGTTTCTTATTCTAAAAATCCAGACGCGTCATCAGTTTTCGGCTTTTTCAAACATATACACACGCGCAAAGTAAACGTGTGAACGAACTCGCAAGTATTACAAGATCAGGAGGCGCGGTAGCGCAACGCGGTATACATGTGTGTACGAATGGCTCATGTGTGTGTACGTGATAGGTACTGCACCGAGCTCACCCACTCGAGCACATTTATTCGCACACACACGCACATCACATCTATACGCACACGTCTTTTCCTTTTTGTACAGTATATACCAAGGCGCGCAACGCGAATACCGTAATTTGTCCGCCTTTTCGTGTTGTTGTTTATTCTCTTTTTTCTCGCTTCTTTCATTCGTCGTCGCATGCGTATATATATGTTGTTTGCTTTCGCAAGGAGATGCGTATCTTCAGTCGATCGCGTCGAGGTCAGAAAATTATTTTATCTTTTTTCAACTTTTAAAAGCTCGTATAAAAATATTGATGCATAATAATATCAGAGCTTGTATGAATATGAATGTTTACAATAATATTTTGAATATTTTCCTGATTAGCTACTTAGATTTTTAAAGAATAAAAGTATAGGCAGAATTTTTCAATTTTTACACTGGTTTTGATATTTTTTAATAAAAAGTGAGTGTTAAAAAAGTAAAATTAATCAATTAACATAATAAAAAAGAATAATGTCGATATATACCAGCATTTTAATGTAATTATGGTAAGACTTTTTACAAAGGAAAATAATTTGAACAATCTAAAGCGAAGATGATCTTACGGATAAGTAAGAGAAAGTGAGAGAATTGCGAATAATGAAGTCTCGAGTGCCCACATATACGTACAGGCACTCATGAGGCCGTTTACTTTGGCTGTGACAAGCTCGATGTCGATAGTTCGTAAGATGAGGAATGAAGTGTTTTTAAAACACGTTATTGTTTGCAAGCTATTACAATAAAGCAACTGTACGCCGTTAAATTCAACTTTAAGCTTATGTTTTTAGGGTCTTTGAACTAGCGAAAAAAAATTATTTTCCAAGCAAAGCTGCTGCAACTGGTAATTCTGAAACTACAGAGCCGTCTCTCGTTCCACTGACATAAAAAAATTACTAACTGGAAAATTCACCTGGAATCTCATGAAAAATAATGCTTGTATATTTTTTAGAGAAACTTGCCCGCTTAAGTGCGTATTTGCATAGATGCTCTTCTTACACGTGTTATTCCCTCATTTCTATACTATACATGAAAAACCGCAAGGCCTCAAGTGAGCGTTCGTGCACGAGTACATGTGTATGTATGCATGAACAAAAGAGAGTTCGAATAATGTAAGCTCGAGCAAGAAGCTAACGAGTTGTCGCACAAAAAAAACTGCTTACGACCCAATTTTTCCTAATCTTTTATACCTAGAATATTAATTAAAAATAGATTAAAACTGTCCCGAATAAGGAAAAAATTTTGAAAGCTCGCAAAAACATATATTAACTAAAGTTTGTTCGACAAAAGTAAAAGTATGCTAAAACGTTCAATAGAAGCTTATTAGCTGAGATTTAAACAGATCGTATCGTCGTCCTTGTAACAAAAATTTGTTTCAATTTGTTAAAATTGGTCTGAATCAGATATTCAGGATAAACCTTACGTAATTACATGTTTTTATGAGTAGAAAAACGAACACGTTGAAAATTATATGAATAATTAAATACAAACTAAATTAAATGGCAGATTCACTCCAATTTTAGTTTTATTCCTGAAAAAGATGTTATGAAGAAATTTTTCAAATCAGACTAAAGTAAACTGAGTTACAGGTGAAAATTGCGCATTCATTCTTGATGGTACAGCCGTTTCAATTAATTCGTATCATAACTTTACAAACTCTATGACTTAACATCTATAACAAGAGTGCGCATTATAAAATGTCAGAGGAAAACCACAAAAACGGAAGAAAAGAGAAAAGGAAATATCAATGCCACAGTAAGAAAAACCTATATATATTATCCGCACGCGCGTCCTGCACTGAGCATAATATTTTCTTTTCTTTT